TCCCTCCCTCCCTCCCTCCTTCCTTCCTTCCTTCCTTCCTTTCTGTTTCTAGGGAGAAAAAAAGCTATTCTTGGGATTTTAGTAGGGGTTTTACCGTGTTGGTAGTTTGCAGTGGGTGGTACTCACACCTTAACAAAATTAAGTGTTCCAGTCTATGGGTGCAGGATTTACAGTTATTATGTTGTAGTTTTCAGTGTACAAGGCTTCATCTTCCAGGTTAGGTTCATTAGGAAACACACTGTATTCTTCTGAGGCTGTTCCCAGCCTTCTTTTCCAGCCTTCCATTTTTGCTGTGTACAAATGTAGCTATTTCTGTGTGCACACGAAGCTGGCTATTACTGTGTGCACAGGCAGCTGACTGCCAGTGTGTACAAATGCAGCTGACTGTTCCTGTGTAGAAACGCAGCTGACCTTTTTGTACTGGTTTTGTGTCATGTGACTTTGTGGAATTCATTTTTAGTTTTCCTGTTTAAAAAAAAAAAAGTAGCACTTAGAAATTCACATAGGATTAAAATTACAATAATCAGTTTGTGGATTAACCATCAAGGAATAGGACACATAGTCCACACTATTCATTGGTCAAGCCGCATTCATACAGGTCTGGCTGCGGATGCCGTTGTTCAGTCAGGTATTGATTGACAGTGGGGGTATGGAGTGGGTATAAAACACTGCTAGTTACCGAAGAGTAAAGTCCTTTCTTCAGGTCGGGTCTTAACAACACAGGACAGCCCACCTGAGATACAGATGGTCATGGTCTTAAATGAAAGATAAGCTGGCCTTTCCCATTAGACAGTTTAAAGGTTATTAATGTTTAAAAACTGTTGACTTTTTTTTTACACTCTTTTAGATGGTATTTATAATGTCAAACATGTGCCAATCAGGGATGATAAGCTATTTTCCAGTTTGTTTCAGGAGTGAGTGACCTGGAGCCTGCTGTGGCCTCCTTTCTATATTGCCCTGGCGATTGAGGCCAGGTGACTATTACCTGAGGTTGCTTGAGCCTGGCTTGGCTATTTTTCTGGCTATTTTCAGAAAGTGTAACTATCCAGCAGTGGATGTGGATGTTATTCCTCACCTCTCTTTTCTTCCCTGTAAACAGAGGTGAGCCTGTACTGACTTCAGCAGAGCGCACTCAACGTCTGTCTGCAGCTGCAGTGGGTCTCCAGTCCGTGTCTCTGCAAGATCAGGCTGCATTTCCATCTTAGAAAGCTCAAAGCCGGCCGGGCAGTGGTGGCGCACGCCTTTAATCCCAGCACTCGGGAGGCAGAGCCAGGCGGATCTCTGAGTTCGAGGCCAGCCTGGGCTACAGCGTGAGTCCCAGGAAAGGCGCAAAGCTACACGGAGAAACCCTGTCTGGAAAAACCAAAAAAAAAAAAGAAAAAAGAAAAGAAAAAAAAAAAAAAAAAAAAAAAAAACTACAAAATTAAAAATAAATAAATATGACCCAATGAATTTTATTAGGATTGTTTGCAAGAGTTTGGGGTGGTGTCACATACTATATTCGAGCAGCTTACTCACAGCTATACCACTGAAGAAACTATCTCCCCTTCTCCAGCCATTCACTGCGGATAGCTCCTCACAGATGGGTGTGGCCTCATGAGCTCTTCCTCCATCCTTGATGGGCTGGGCCTTGAACTCCTGACCCTCCCTTCTCTACTACCTGAGTACTGGGAATGCATGCTTGCACGTCCATGCCCAGGGTTATGTGGTGCCGGGGATCAAACCCAAGGCATTGTGCATGCTAGGCAAGCACTCTACCTGCAATGTGTATTCTACATGCACACTGAAACGTTATACCCATTTACCAATAACTCCCTCATCTTAATTTTGCTTTGATAAAACACCCTGACAAAAAAGCAATTCAGGGGAGAAAGGTTTATTTTACCTCATAGTTATTTTACCCAGACTGTCGTGGTGGGGAAATCGAGGCGTCAGGAGTCTGAAGCAGCTAGTCATGTTATGTGTGTGGCCAGTCAGTAGAAGAGGGCAACAAGTGCAGGCAGGCCAGTGTTCAGCTGATTTTATCCATTCACACAATCCAGAATCCCCTGCCTAGGGAATGGTGCCTCCTACAGTGGGTGGGTCTTCTCGGTACCTTACAGACATGCCCAGATGTCCTTCTCCCAGGTGATTCTAGATTTTGCCAGGTTGATAATTAACATTGACCATCACATCCCCTCTCCCACCTCCTGGCAAGTTAAACTTCTATTTCTGAGAGTGCAACTCTTCCCAGATTCATCTAAGGGTTGTTCATTATGTCTCCATTGTGGTGATATTTTGTTTGTGCCCTAACAAATAAAGCTTGCCTGGAGATCAGAGAAATAAAGAAGCCAGCCACTAGAAAGACTTCTTAGCTCTAGGAATACTCAGACTGAAAAAGCCGAGCTCCTGTCTCCACCCAGCCATATCACTTCCTGCTTCCTCCTCCAAAGTGCTGGGTTTAAAGGCATGAGATCCCAAGTGCTGGCATTAAAGATGTGTGCCACCACTGCCTGGCCTCTAGTGGCTAGCTCTGCACTCTGATCTCCAGGCAAGCTTTCTTTCTTTCTTTCTCTCTTTCTCTCTTTCTCTCTTTCTCTCTTTCTCTCTTTCTCTCTTTCTCTCTCTCTCTCTCTCTCTCTCTCTCTCTCTCTCTTTCTTCCTTCCTTCCTTCCTTCCTTCCTTTCCTTTCTTTCCTTTCTTTCCTTCTCTCCTCTCCTTCCCTCCTTCCCTCTTTCTTTCTCTCTTTCTTTCTTTCTCTCTTTCTTTCTCTCTTTCTTTCTCTCTTTCTTTCTCTCTTTCTTTCTCTCTTTCTTTCTCTCTTTCTTTCTCTCTTTCTTTCTTTCTTTCTTTCTTTCTTTCTTTCGTTTTTCGAGACAGGGTTTCTTTGTATAGTTTTTTGGTGGATCTCGCTCTGTAGCCCAGGCTGGCCTCGAACTCACAGAGAACTGCCTCCCAAGAGCTGGGATTAAAGGCGTGTGCCACCACCGCCCGGCACAAGCAACAAAACATCATCGTACTCCATTGTTGCTTTCCCTTCAGTAGCAGGACCACCTGGAAGGGGCTGTGTGAGTTCACAGAACCCAAAGCTGAGGTGAGCACAGGAAGCCTTAGGTCCGTGTGGGTTTGAGACCATGGAGCCATCTCAGCCCTGGGAATGGGGACTGGAGTAGGTCAACTGTCTGATAGAAAATGACACTCGGTGGGCTCTCCAGATGTATGTGGGAGTCCGAGATAGGGAAGTGTACTAGGGGGTGTCAGTATTCCCTCAGACTTTTTGTTTGGTCTCTCCTGTGTCTTTCAGGCCTCCAGTATGAAGGGCCGGATGCCCCAGTCTATGAGGTAAGAGCCCCCAGCCCAGTGCTTTTGGCACTGCCCCACGACTGTGGCTGGTCTCAGCCTCCAACCGAGTCCTATTGATTATCCAGATGAATCACCACATGAATTCAAAGTGGGACGTGGGGCCAGCGCACCGGGGTGTTGCGGTCACTGGAGTGGCTGCAGGGAGTACTTCCAAAGCTACACAGAGCTCACAGCCACCACCGTGGTTGTTTCGCTTTAGGCGGAAGCGGCTGCCACATCCACGGCTGCTGCCTGTGTGGCCTCTGACAACCAAAGTATAGGGTGCTCCGCCTTCCCCGGGGTGCTCTGCCCCGCCCCCTCTCAGCACAGCTCCGGGTTGAGGTCTTAGGGTGGGGGGTGTGATGGGTGAGGTATGGTCTCATCCAGGACCTGCGAAAGGGCCCTGGGGAACGAGGCTGGGAGTGTGTGTGCAGATGTACGTACACGGGGCAGAGTGTGGAGGCCGGAGAAGCTCGCTGCTGTCCTCCACTGTAGGGCTCTCCACCTGTTCCCTGGAGAGTCTGGGGAGCTCACCGTATTTTGGCTAGGCTGACAGCTAGCCAGCCCCCACGACCCTCCAGCCTCATGATCTGTTTTCTTCGGTTTTGGGGGTTGCCTGACTTTTTTATGTGGGCACTGGGCACTCAAATCCAGGTTCTGACACTTACCCAACAAGTGTCCTTACCTGCTGTGCCATCTCAGCTCAGAAGTGTGATCTGCATCCTTCATCCCCAGAGACTGACTGGAGGGTGGAGCAGGGGTGAATGAGCTGCTCTGTGTCCTCAGAGGCCTCCTCTGTTGTGGGAGCCCATTCTCAGGTTCCTTGTGGCTTTTCCCAGCAGGTCCAAATAGAGGATGATCAGGACCACAGGCCTGAGTGCAGGTGTCTGAGATGGCCTGCACTTGGCTGTGCTGGGGGAGGAGGTCTTTTGCTCCACCCCTGGGCGTCTCTATAAAAACCCTGGACCAGAGACAGTCGGGGGCCGTTGGAATAGGTTCCAGGCCCTACTCGAGGCTATCCTTTATTTTCTACCTGTTTATCTCCGCAAGATTCTCCACTATAAATCCTTCTATCTAATATTTCCTGCTGATCACACTCAAGAAAACTCTGGGGAACTGTGGCGGTGGTGGGTAAACGCCCCACAGAATGGCGCCATGAACAGGGACTAAAGAAAAAAAAAGGGACTAAAGAAAAAAAGGGGGAACAAAAAAAGGGGGGACTAAAGACAAATGAACAGGGACTAAAAACAAAGTAATAGGGACTAAAGATAAAGGAAAATAATAGTTTTATTACAGTTTTACCGAGTTTTTGGTGAAAGTGCTGAGTCAGCCCTGCCAGTGGAAAGGTATGCTGGTTATGGAATATATATATATTTTTATATATATTTTTGGAAGGCAGGGGTTTTATCCTCGAGAGAAAAGGAAAGCAGACTGGAAGGATGTCCGATGCTGCAGCGAAATTCTCTTCTGTCAAAATTTTCTATCTTCTATCCCTTTCTCAATTTCTATCTGTGAAAAATAAGTATAAGGTATAGGGTAGTAATATAGTTTAGGAAAAATTTAGAAGTCTAAGATTGTGTAGGAAAAAATAAGTAAGGCAACTAGACAGGAAAACTCTTCAATTTTCTCACTTTGGGAGCTATAAACGCAAACTGGGGAAAAAAATCTTTCTTTGGGCTTTACGGGTAGTAAAAAAGCTCTTCTTTGAGCTTATGGGGAAGAAAAAGTTTCCTATGGAAGCTTTTGACCTGGGGACAGCTGAAATGCTAAGTCCAAGAGACAGGAGAAAGTAATTTCTCCCTGAGGCAAAGATGGGGGTGTAAGAAGTCAAAGTTTAAAGTTGGCAAGTTTTGGGAAAAGTTGGTCTTTCTCCTGGGGGAAAAAAATCTTCCTCTTAAACTATAAAGCTTTTCTTGGAAAATTTGGGGGGAAAATCTCTCTAAAAAGCCTTAATCTTTCTCAAAAGCTCTCTTAAACTTAAACTAAATTTGTCCTGAGAGAGGACAAAAATTAGAATCACCTGAAGATATTAGTATGGGGACCACCTGTGATTAGCTCTAAGGGAAAACAAACTTAAGACAGCAAAACCTCTCTAAGTTCTTTCAAGCTTTGACAATCCTCCCTGCAAGGCAGGAGGCAAGGACAGGTTTCTAAAAACCCCTTCTAGGTTCTGTCGCTTCAAGCTAGTGAAAGACAGTCGGTCAGAATACCCTGAGGGAGATGCTTGGGAGAGTGTGGGTGAAAAGCTACAGAGAGCCCAAAGGGCAGGAAACTTTGCCTGAGAAAAGCAAAAAAGCCAAGCTTTTCAGTTACAGCCTAGCTGAGGCATCAACTGCTTTGTTTCTGAGTGAGCATTTCAGATTGAAAAGGTGCTCCTAATCGTCCTAATGCAAACATTCTCCTGAAGCAATGCAAACTGTTAGCATTGTATCCTCGCTTCTGAGCAAAAACCCAGAGGCGACTGGCCAGTGTCTCTGAGTTGGAGTGCATTTCGGGGATACTAGGGTTCCTGCAGTGGTAAACTTCCTGGAGCACAGAGATGAGGCAGGAAGGTGCAGGACCTGGGGGAAGATTGCTAATGAACAAACAAAGCTAAAGCTGGTGGGAATGGCACAGTTATCTGCTTTCCTACAAGTCCCAGGGTTGATAGGTCCACAACTGCAAAAAGAAATCTGAGAAAAAGCTTCCTATCAGAGAAAGGACCCTTCTGGGAAAACAGTAAAGCTGAACTGTGTCTGAAGCAGTTGTGCTGCTGAGTCAGAACGTTGTCTGGGGAAAGAGCCCAGCCAGGGCAGAACAGAACTATCCAGGAGTAAAGCTTTCTTTTCTGTCAGAGAAAGCACCTCTTTGAGAAAAGCTTTGTTTCAACTGACTCCCGATGAGATGAGGGAGTGTAGCCCTGAGGGGTGATTGCCTCTGGCATAAGCTCTGTCCTGGAGCACCCAGACAAGCAAACAAAATCCACTTGGGGACTGGGCCAGGTGAAGGCCTGATGATGCAAAGCACCTGTTCTAATGGGAGTTTAGAAACGGCAAAAACCTCCCTTGTTAAATTTTTCAGTCTGTACGCAAACCACACAGACCCCGAAAACAGAAACGGACAAAAAGCCCCTACCTTCAGTAGCAGGGAAAGCCGCCACTCTAGTGTAGGAAACCGTTTCTGCCGTAGAGGGGATAAATTGAGACCAAACTGGGAACTGGGAGAAAGACTGAAGAAACGGAGAAGGAACATAATCCTCCCCAGAAAATATGTGACCTGAAAAAGCTGCTAGAATTTGAGGCAGATTCAGGGGGGAAAAAAAAAGCCCCTACCTCCAAAGGCAGCTAGCAGAGGAACAGAGCCGCAGACAGATAGCTGAAGCTCTGCATCTGGGGGGGGTGGGGGGAGGAACAAGCAAAATGAGAATAAGATCAGTGGGAGAAAATCTCTGAAGGAGCTATGGAAAAGCTCTGTTGCAAATGATCTTGTTTTTTACTGACTGGCTAAGGCAAACACAAGCCCCGAGCAAAGTTGCTATCAGAAATGCCAGCCTCAATGCCGGCTAATGAGGCAGGTGTGGTTCTGATTCGGGGGTCAGTGTCTGATGTAGGAGAGACACCTGTTAAAGCCAGCTGAGGAGAATAGCAGTGTGCCATAGCTGAAAATGTAAAATGCTTGTTCAAATCTCCCATTGCAAAAGCAAAAAACTTTGTTCAAACCTCCCGGGCAAGAATTGGTAAGCAAGTCTGGTAAAAGAGAACCAGTTGACTCTCAAACCCGATAAGAAATATGGGAAATGATATAAGGGACTGATATTATGGACCGATATAAGGGAAATGC